TATAAATAATTTATTCATTTTTTATTTCTGTTTTCGATTTGCATTTCTGTCACGCAGCAAATCTGCGCCAAAGTGCAAATGTGTTTCGGGTTGAATTTTATATTTGCTTTTGACTTTTTGAACTCAATTCATGTGAAAATAAGCGGATTTATGCGAATGTTCTGGGGCGTAGAATATTATTTTATTTTATTTCTAGCATCGCCCCGGGCGTGCATTTCATTTGGAAAATAAATTTCCATGAAAATATATTTGTTCCCCATTAATCTATAGTAATTTGGTGGAAGTAAAGCGGATCAAGCGGATCTGAATTAAGCTATCATTATCAAAATATTATTCGGCTGTGACTATTTGAAATACTAAACTAATTTTAGGCTTGACAAAAAGCTACTAGACTGCAGGGTAAATTAAATAAATCTGCCAGTGAAGTGAAAATATTAGTTTAATATTTAAGAAAATATAAATAACTAATTAGTATTTTTTCTCTATTTCTTTCAGGTATGTTAACAACATAAACAATTATTGGGAAATCAAGTGAAAACATAACTAACCTCTAGTTAAGTAGAACCATTTAAATGCTATCGATGAATCTTTGATTACTTTCTTACTCGACTGCTTTAAGCGGTTTTTAATAATAGTAATTTACTAAAGTACGGCCAAACTAGGGTTCAACATCCTGTTATGCGGAAATAGCTAGCTGGAAAGGTAGAAACTACTGCAAAGGGAGAGGGAGAAGGGTGGCTGGCTGTTTTGCCTCATTCATTTACTCGAACTACGCCTTAATTCTAGAAATTAAAATGCTGTACATGTGGCACGATTGCCATTGCCATTGGTCGCCTAATGAGCAAACTGCTGCCATATCGACAACGTCTGGAGTCTAATTTTAGATGCCTTTGGCCTCCGACTTTCAGGCCTGCCAAGGGATCTGGAATAGGCTGATGTTTTTGCTTCTGTTTAACCATAAGGCTGTGGGGATGAAATATCTACACTGGGATTTATGTTTTTTTTGTATATTTTTATGATAATTTAAAAGATTTTACTTCTTGTAGAAGTCAGAGTTTTGGGAGTTTTAGCAGCTTTTGATTTTAAAAATATTATTAAATACAGAGATCAATGAAAGCAGCTTTAAGGTTCTATAAACTTAAAGAAAGTCAAAAAAGTATAAGAAAATATTTTGAAATACCTTAAACTACCCAAACTACAGTTCAAATTAGGTTTCTAAGCCTCGAAAATCTTAGAACTTCCCTATTACATCGTCAATTTTTTCAACTGTACACTGCAGACCGTCAAAAACGCAGCATGGGGTTGTCCGCTTCAACAGCAGCAGAAAGGCAGAAAAAAAAAAAAGGAAAATAAACAGACGTCAAATCGGGGCATAGGGGCTAGGGGCTGGCAATGGAAAGGCTGAGGAAACTTTATTAAAGAGGTAGCCGTAGCCAGCCGGGAGCTGGTGCACGAGATGGACGAGAACACTCCACACACAATTTCGACAAATCCACAGCTCGCTCTCTCTCTTTCTCTGTCTCTACATATCTCTTGGTACTCGGCACTCGGAATCCCCCAACTCTTGGGTGATAATGCGAACGAACCCCAGAGAACTCAGAGAAACTCGGTGCTCGGGGATAAAAATAGCAGACAGCAGAAAAGGATATTGTAGCAAAGTGGAGAAACTCTAAGAGCCAAAGAACTTACAAAAAAAAAAAAAAGAGAAGAAAAATCACAAAAAAAACGGGGGAAAATACGGTGCAAAAGAGGAAAATCTCTGCAGTCTTGCCGCCATGTGTTGCATTTCAAAGTGTGTGAGTTATGGGTAGAGGGCAAAGTCGGGGGATAAATGGAATGGAAAACCCCCTGAGAAGCAGAAGAAACACTGCCAGATGAGACGACAAATTACAAGATGTCGAGGGGAGAGACTGTACTATGATGCCCTGCACCTGCGAATCAATCAAATCCCAGGGCAGCGAAACAAGCTAACATCCACTAATTGGAGTCTGTATACGGAGGAACTTGATAACGCGAATTAGGATTGTAGTTTGGCTTGATTTATGGACGTTCGAAAAGGGAATTAAGTTCTTAGAATGGTAACTAAGTATAGTCAGGAACTAAAAAGTTTACCTCTCTTAGAAATATCACCGATAAAATATTCAGAGGAAAACTTTCTGATTTATCTTCCCGTAAAACAAGCTTCTTCTGTGATTTTTTCTTCAGCTACAATTTCTGATATTTCCGCTCAGTGCTTTTTCCTGCTCATCTCGATAAATCCTTGCTGAATTGGTTACGATTACCCAGCAGTTTTGGCACAGCCACACCGTAGTTTCATGAGGGTCAAAGGGTTTCGTAGGCCAAGTACTTCCCGTATGCAAATGATAATTAAAATCGACTCCGTTTTGGCCCTACTCTTGCCAACTTCAATTGCATATTTTGCCAGTGCTGGCTTTCATATCGCAAATTCCCAAAATATTTGCCATTGCATACATAATGTTTTGGATCAGAATGAGGAAAAGCCACAAGGCACAAGTTATGAACCAAGAATGCTCTTGTTAGTTCGTGTTTGAGGGGGGAGAAAAATTAATTCAAAGGGCAGGATATGCATTACATTTTTAATTGCTTTTTAAGGAAGAAGATAGTTTCATGTGGGTGGGTGGGGGAAATGATGGACTCACAAGCAGCTTGCTCCTAAAGCATATTGAATTCCAATCAAATTGGATCAGGCGAAGCATGACAAAAGTTTCATAATTTTTAATTAAGAAAAGAATTTCCACATGAGCATAAAATTCTATCTAAAAGCTGGCAAGTTGCTGGGTTGTGCGATGTGAAAAGAGAATCAACATGAACCCCAAGATAATTAACTGACTAGGAACTAATAAACTAAACTTTTAGCTATACCTTTTTTCTATAGTGAAAAACTGCCTGTAACTCGAGGGAAACGTACTCGTGTTTCTTTTATTTGATGAATTTGTTTAAAGGCTTTGCCCCAAAACTTTCCACTTCATTTATTTAGTTAGACCGTAAACCAAATCCCTGTCTAAACTGCACTTTTTACCATAACAAAAGTTCAATGGGAGGTAGATAATAACAAAAAAGAAAAAAGAACTTCGTAGTTCTAATCCCAAAAGTTTTATGTAATTTTCACCGAAAATTTACTTCCCACTTCTGGGAGCGCTGTTTCCATGCAAATAAATTCTAGCTCCGTACACTTTAACTAAAAACAATTTCCATAAAATGTTCGGGCTGGCGGGGCTTGGAAAAGACCTGTGAAAGTCCTAGGGGAAATCCCCAGGACATTTATCAACCAAGGCTGGGCCAGCAGCTTATTATTCTTCAGCCGCATTTCAATGGGGAAATTTTAATTAAGGCTCGGCTATGGGCGATGGGAGATGGGAGATGGTCGATGGTTTGTCCACTCACCACTAAATCTCAAATGTCAATGGAGCTGTGGTCACAAATTTTTGCTCCCTAGCCTCTATGCATCCAAAGCCATTTGTAATGTGGTTCAAAGTTATGAGGGGAGGGGGCGAAAGGTGGAACTGCCACAGGCAGGTGTCGTTGTGGCCAACAAAAAATGGAGAAATCCCAACTCAAAGTTCTCCCCTTGGTAAAAACCCACCTAAAAATGATAAATTATCCGAAAAATTTTGCAAACTCCTGAAAATTACGCATTAAATCATGCAGAAAGCAGGGAAAAACTGGTAAGGATTCGCTTGAGGCGCGTGGGTCACCAAAGGGTTAAGCAGTGCCAAGTCATTGTATAGTTTACGACTGAGATTTTCCAGGTAAAGTCAAAGGGAAGTTGCGTTTTATCGCTCGCATGAGCTGCAATTTTATAACATTTTTATTATTATTATTTTTTTGTTGTTGTTTGTTTGAGTATGTAGGTGTGTGCGTGTGTGTGTGTGTACTTACCATTGTGTTTTATTATTGGCCAAAAAGGAAAATATTTGTATGTTTCTGTACTACCGGTAGGTCACGTTTGCTTTTTGTGTCGGCTCGTAAATTCGGGCAAACAAACTGCAATTGCACAAGGTGAAGCATCAGCCAGCGATGAATATTCGCCCGCCCCCCCCACTATTGTGGGCTATTTTGTATTTTCATTATTATTACCAGCCAGCTGGCTAGTCCGTCCAGGTGTATGTATAGTCGTCGTCTCCTTCTCGCTTGGCACATATTTCATGGCTATGATTTACTCCATTGTTCAGGGCTGTTGGCCACCCTCAAAGCACAACAACACAGCGCTCGAGCAGAACAAGTGCCCAGTTTTTGGCAACGCCTCCCTACCCGCCTCATAGCCTCATCATCATCATCGAAATGTTTGTTTTGGCCCCTTCTTGGACTTGGGTCAAAACTATAGTTGAGACATGAACCTAATTTACTGGCTGAGTGCCTTTCATGCTGTTGCTGGTAGAATTTCCAAATGTCTTTATCTCTCGTTGGCTCTGATTTTCTTTGAAAAAACACTCTTTTTTTTTTTGAGCATAAAACTTGTTTGGGATACTCAAAGGCTGACCAGATTTAAGGCAACTTCTATTTGTAAAAAAAAATTAATAAAAACTAAATTTATTTCGTTTTAAAGTTAAAAAAAAACTTTAAACTCAGCATAAACTTTAACCCAACGATTTCGTTGCTGCCATTAAAAAGTCAGACCACAACTTTTTATGGCTTCCTTTTACATTTTTCGACCCTTTAATTGCTTAACGCTTCGAATTACAAGAATCGGTTTGGTTAATTGCCGGGCAACCTGGTTGACCCAGTACAATGTCAATCGATGGGAAAATCCAAAGTTCAAAAGCCTTCGTTAACGTTTGCCTAATTGCCAGTGAAGGTAGGCAGGCAGCAGGCACATTTCCACGCCCCACAAAAAATTGCAAGCAATTTACGCCTTTTTATCAGCCAACAGTTGTTGTTGTTGTTGTGCAGGGTAAGGTAAACGCACTTCATGTAACCAGGATGCTTGAGCATCCTTGGAGCCACTTGATAAACCCCACACAAACACACAGACAGCCAGATAGACACGCTCTTAGTTTTTAATGAAGGCTCATCATCAACAATGTTGGCCCAAACCCATTGGAAGGCGGCTCACGAAAGGACAAGGCATAGTGATGATGCTGTGCTAACCAATTACTTAGTCATTGCAGCCATTAGGGCTGGAAAATAGTCGGGCGGGATAATTGACACTCCAGTATGAAGGGGATAAAACACTAAACGCCCAGTCGAAAACTACCGCCAGTACTTGGTTGGTGTGCGAAGACTACTGAAAGATGATGGTGATGACCATGATGTTTGGCCCCTGTGAATCCTTAGATTGTCCGACTCTGCACCCTTATCGCTAACGTCGTCGTCACCGCCCTCGCCAGCCCCATCCATTTGATGGCAGGTGAGCTGGTGCTTCTCGATATCCGGATCGTAGCAGATATTGTGCCGCCAGAAGGCGGAGGTCATGTCGAAGTCCACAGCATTGATGGGCGAAAGCATACAGACCACCACAATCTTATCCCTGCCCTTTTTCGAGAGCTCAACATCCTTGCACATCGTTATGAGGACATGAGAGTGCTCGTTGGGCTTCAGAATTCCCCAACGGGGTCGCATTTTAAACTTGCCAAACACTGTGCTTTGCAGCTGATGGAAATGGGGAAACTTAAATCAGTAAAAAGATTCTAGATTTTGATTTAAAATTATGGTTAAATGACTGTATTATTTACCTTGTAGGTTACCTTCTCTTGGGAAACATTTCTTATGACGATTTCTTGTTTATTGTTGATTTTGGTGAAGGTTAATGTTCCATTCGGTGAAATTTCCAAAGAATTTTTAGACATGTTGAGGAAAATTTAGGATTTTTGTTAAAATTTGTTAAAAAAAACTGTATTCCTTTTAGACATTCACTTAAAATTTGGTTAAGATAAAAACAAGATAAAAACTGATATTTACACCCCTGTTCTGAGAAACCTTCTGACTTTCTGTACAACCAAAATACAAAACGGGGTATAAAAAGCCTACCCTGTTAAAGAAAATCAAAACTAAACATTTCTGTAGATTTAATTCCTTCATAAAAATGTTCTCACAAACCCAGAAAGGCAAAATCCTTACCAGTTTATTTCCCAAAATTAATCCCAGTTTAATTCCCTCAGGCTTCTTAACCCTTTCTTGCCTATAGAGCCATAATAATCACCATTCGGCTACCGCATTGCAGAACAGCTCCTTTACACACAATTGACCCCGAATGTTGCCCAAGTTGTGGGCCACGTATTAATTACATTTCAACGGTCGCCGCTCAAGCAAATCAGAAAATCCAGTCAACAGCCAACAACTACAATAACAGCCAACAGCTAACAACAACATTTACAGCCAACAATTTGCTTTCAAAAACAACAAAAAAGGGGAAACAAAATTTCCCATATACACACGCGCACACATGCAAACCCTAGGGTTTTTCAGTTGAGGGAGGGGCATTGCAGAGGCTTCGCAATCCTTGGCCAGTTGAGCATTTTGAGCTTAGCTGGCGCTTAGGCTAAATGACCAACCAGCAGGTGGTGGCAGCAGTTGTAGTATACATATAGTATGGCCAAATGACCATTGCCCAGAACTACTGTAGCAGTGGCAGGAAAAGCAACAACAATAAGCTGTAAAATTAATTGATTTACAAGTGTGAAAATGCGCAGAGCGAGACAGGTGGCAATGCCAGTGGGTCATAACAATAACGCCTGTCGTCGGGAAATGGGAAATGAAAATGAAAACGTACTATAAGAATGCACATTTAGTTCTAGCTTAGTATATGCTGTGTGTGTGTGTGTGTGTGTATATGGCTATACAGAAAGAGAGAGAGAGGGAGAGAGAGAGCGTAAACTACAATCCGCTTAACGGTAATTGCCGTACAACGCCCACAACCTCATAACCCTTTTAGTACAGAGAGAAAAATATTAATAAAATAGAGGCTAAGGACTACTTATTGGGTTAATTTCTATGCTGAAAATAAATCGTAGTATACTTTTAAACAGTTTTATAAGTGATTTCAAATCTCTTGAAAATTCCTTTGATAAATTTGTAAATCAAAAATTTATCAATTTGGTTTATTAATAAACCAAAAATACATTAATTTTCATTTTCCTCAAGTGTATCGCTATTTTGTCGCGTGCTCTTTAAAGCGAACTTAATGGCCAACGACCACGCCCACTTCCTGCACCTGCTACATCCATAAATTGCGTGTAATTTTGGATTTCTTACTGTTTGAATGCGCACAAAGCTCATTTATATTTCATAAACTTAAAGGTTTTTGTGTTGGTTTTGGGGGCCAATGGGTGGGTGGCCGGAAGTAAGCTTTTGTTTTTCAGCCGTTACTTCCTTCCGCTTCTACTAGTTGTTTATTTGCCTACATTCTGTTCCGTTCTGTACGGTTTTTGTTTCGCTTTGTTTGTTTGGGCCTTGTTTTGATAGGCAATTTAATAAGCGCGTCTGGGGGATTATTTTTTGTTTTCTTGGAGTTTTCCTATAAAAAGCTTTAGGGCCTTAAAGGTTTCTATAGAAAAGTTATTAATCATTGATTAAGGATTCCCTGATTTATTTGGCGGGGGGTGTGTGTAGGGCGTGTCCAGAGGACAAATATTGTTAGTTTGATTGCATTTAATGGCTAAGCGGGGGAATCAATCAATGACAGCAACAACAACGGACATCGTCTCAATTTCACTGCAATCGCTGCAATCATGAGAGTCGTTTATTTGTTGCGAAATCACAGCGAAAATGCTGCTCAATTGCCGTCTAGCTTTTTCGGGGGTAATTCAATAGAGACAAGTGAACTCTCGACTTCTGCTTGCACAGGGAGAAAAAAAGTTAGGTATCGTGAAGGTAATAATGACTAAAGAGATCAATAAATGAGGGAAGTGGATTTCCCCTATCGAAGATATACATATTTATGTATCAGAACTTCTTTTCTTCCAACCTTATTAGAAAGCCCAAATAACTTTCGAACATCTTTCTTTCTCAGTGCACTCCCTAAGAGATATATATATATAAACCTAGGAGTCAATGTGCCAATGTAATGTGATATTTCTAGCTTGATTGCGCTCTTCGTTCGATTGGCGATTTCAGTTTGGTACTTCATCATTCCGTTAACGATGTCAAAGCCAAAATGGAATTTGGCCACTCGATAATCGTTAGCCAATTAAGAAAAGAGAAATCTCTGCAAGTGCAATCGAACGAAAACATCAAACAAGATGATTTCTGTTTTTTTTTTTAATAATTTTTATGGGGACACGTACTTAGCATGGGTCTCGCATCATTTCAAATGCGATTGCCTTGCTGCTGCAGCCCTTTTGGATACGCTTTCATGATGCCTGTTAGCCCATGAAAGAAGCCACATCAAAAATATATCTGCTTGGGCCAAATAAAAGTAAAGTTTATCTTGGTTTTTATGCTTTTTTCTATTTTTTCAGTGATGTTTTTTTGATGTTGCGCCAATTGACAGGGCCTTTAATTTCTTTGCTCTTTTTTTTATATTTTCTTTGGTCTTGTCAACGCATCGTTCGGCTGCCATAATTCAAGTCTTGCTGTCTGTCCGTTGGTGGCACGCCGTTTGCATAGCCAAACATTTGCTCTTAAATAAAAATTTATTTGGTATTTGTGCGAGTTTTTTTTTTCTCCTCACTCACATTTTGCCTTGTTTATTGACAAGCTGAGCGAACGTGAAGATTTCTGCGTTTTTGTTTTATTTTTCTGTTTTCTTTTTTGTTTTTTTTTTGGAATATTTGTCTTCATTTATTTTTATTGATTTTTCTGCTACTGGCGAGAGAGGTTTTTTCTTCGAAGCTGATTTAATACCTCGACTATGTACGAAGGGTAGACAGCGTCGAGTGGTCAATGGCCAATTTCGTTTTCATTTGCTAAGCCAGTGAATAATCACAATGCATTTATCTATCGACCTTTCGCTTAAACTTTCTTTCATCCCCACCTGCTCAGTTCAGCTCAACGCACACACACAGTAGCTTTTCAATTATTTAATTTTCCGCTCACGTTTTGTTAGTTTTTCACGTTGGTTTTCATTGGCCCTTCCAGCTAAATGCGACAAAAGGAAAATCCCATCGAAATTTGGCGATAAAAATCTTTCGAATAAGAAGCGAACCCAAAAGTGCATCTTCAACTCTCGAAGGCGGCGACATTCTCACGTTTCCATTGGCATTAAGGCTTAGTTGATCGCCTTCGCCACTTAAAGGGGGGTGGGAGCTATTTTTCGGGGATACACTTGGATTTTTTGGATATAAAAAAAAGTATAAAATCATTTTGCGAACTTAAAAAACTGTCTTTGATTTATATATTTAAATAATGCCTTAGATTCCTGAAATATCTATTATCTTTTCCTCCTTACATGGCGGATTACTTAACATTTTTAGGATTGCTGAGCCATAGTTACAATTTTATTGCCATTTTTCCCAGTGCATGTGTGGGTGTGTGCTACTTTTTCCCATTCACTAGCTTCATGCTTCATTTGGCAAAGCTGCAAGGCAATTGATGACAGACTCGGAGTCGGAGTTTCGACTTTGGGTAAGGCAGCATAAATTCCATTTAAATGGCAAACCAGTCCTCAGCGCTGCATCATCATCATCAGCATCAACCGACATGCAGCCATGATGCATCTTCAGCTTCTTCAGGCTGCCATTAACAACTATGGAAACTGCTGCTATGTGGGCAGCCCAGTGACACACTAAAGTGGCACCCAAGAAAGCAGCAGCAAAAAATCTTATTTTTTATATTAAAAAAAAAAAAAAACTCTGCACGAGGTAACAGAAACCGCATTTAAATGCCGGGCTGCAGTTCAAGTTTCGCTTTTGGTTTTTGCAGATGCGCGGGCAGTCGCGTCGTCAGGTCGTCCCCTTGTTTTCCCCTTCTACATATATCCCGATTTTTCAGCCAACCGGTTTTATGGCTTAGCCAAGCTTGCCTATGGCCATCTATTCTTCTCGCTTTTTTTCCCTGCAGTTTCTGGTTGGGTTTTTGCCGTTTTCCGTTGCCAAACGTTTTGCCGTTGTTGTGGATATTGCTGCTGTAGGCACCTGCATTTGACGTTTTAGGTTTACCGTTTTGCAGTGGCACTTTTCCACTGCTAACCTGGTCAGTTATTGCCCAGTGCTCTCCCCCTCTCTCTCTCTCTGCCTCTATTTGGCCTGCTGAGGCCGTAATTTCATTCATAAAGTTCCCTTACCATGCGTTTCGTAACTTTAAGGTTAATGGTGAAAAATGGTCGAGCAATTTTGGATTGTTGGCTTAAAGGTGGCCATAACCAAAAGTGATTTTTCACGGCTGGTTAAACTGGGTTTTGAGTTTGTTTTTGCATATTTTTCGGTGAAAGGCACAAAGGTTTCTTTGGGTTTTGGATATTTGGAGAAGATTTTCTGCTCATTGACTAACTTAACTGATATTCATCAGCAAAATAAACCATAAGCCATCGAAATTTTGAAAAATCTCATAAAGCCCAAAAGGAAATTGATGCCTAAAATGTGCCGAAACCGATTTTCTCATATTACCATGAAAACACGTAGAATTCTGGCAGCAGAGAGCTTAGAAATTTGATCAAAATAATTGAATCAATAAATGTAACAGTTTACCAAATGAAAATGTTGTTGGGAAGATATTTGAATAATGGTACTCTCAAATGGTAATTTTATCCTTGACTAGCAACGTGTGGCTGAGCCTTAATTATAGACAAGCAAGCTGGGGGCTTATTGCATTACAGTGCCTCTCTAGTTTAATATCCTTGGCTGGCTCTCTGTCGATTTGCAATTGCCATGTAAATTGATTTGGCACGTTCTGCATTTGCTTTCCGTGACAATTATGGTGATGTGACGACCTTCGACCAGGCCAAGTTTTTAACTTGACCGGATCAGATCAGATCTCTACCGAAAATGGGCAGTGACATATTGCCATGACATCGATATAATACTTTCCTTTCCAATTGAAAATCTGTGCAGCCGCCGACGTGACCTGCATCGACCCACTTGCAAAGCTATCCCGCCCATTGAGCAATCAACAAAAAATGTTCAAATGAAAACTTAAATAAAGGCGCAACTTTAATTCAAACAATCGGTTGGCGCGTGTTAGGCAAATTTTCAGTTTCAATTGGCAGTGTTTTTTGTTTCGTTTTTTTTCTGCTTTTTTTTTTGTTTAATTGGCATTCACGGCATGAGCAACCGAGTTGGCCCGGCTTTTTAACGAGCGTCGCCCCAAATTTTGCCATTGCATCGTAGACCAAAATTGGCGCTTCGATCGGCTGAATTGCGTCAGCGATTGAGCAATTGGTCAAATGCCTTCTGACTATGTCAGGTTCAAACTTGGGAGTTGGCATAGGAATACGTTATGGGTATATAATCGTATACCCGTTCATATATATGTATATATATATCATGGGTAATGGTAATGCTAATCGAAACGGACGCACACGTTCGGCCAAAACAAAAAAAAGAAGACTTTTTTGACACAGTCAAAGGCTGAGGAAAAAATTTCACTCACCATTCACGTCACGGTTTATTAATATTCCGTTGATGTAATGCGACTGAAACCGCACACATATTTTTTTTTTTTATATATAATTTGGTTTGACTTCTGACAAGTGTGGCAGCCTTTCGGGTTTGTTTAGTTTCTGTCTAAATATTTTGGTTCAATTTAAGATAACATTATTCAACGAAAATACAAGCTCAAATGTTTTTCTTGGTTATTTTTGTTTTACTTGGAAGGCGAATACAAGTGCAGAAAGCGGAAAGCAGAAGATCAAAGTGATGGCGTTTTTATGTACCAATAAATTTTTGTTAAGATTTTAAAAGCCGATTTCTCAATGTAATGTTAAGTTTTGACATTAATTTTTGTAAAATTTAAAACGGAAAATGTTTGCAGAACAGAAATTGGTTTTAAAACCAAACCAAAATGTCCAAAATGTGATCTTAAAAGAAAGGAAAAGACAGTTTCCTCTTAAAAATAAATATAAGACCTTAGATAAAGACTAATTTCTTAATGGTTCTTGCAATTTTATCAGTTACCTTTCATAAAATACTTAAAAAACTATAAATGAAAAGAAATTTTTATGATTTTTTATTTTATATAGTCCCCCCATCAAAGTGTCAAACTTGCCTGCTCCCCAGTGTAATTATATTTCACTCACTTTTCCAGTTTTTCTTCTGAAATGCATTTCCCAGCGTGATTTTTTCAGGCTGTCCCCCCTCCCGCACATATTTGAACGCATTTTTCTTTCATTATTTATGTTTTTTTCGGGGGGTATATATAGTAGTTTTTGCGGCGCCCATCAATCACCAGCTGTGGAATTTGTGACACACTTAAACGTAACGCATACGCAGCGTGTGCTGCCAAAATGCAATATATTTAATGAGAATGGAAAATTGCTCTAATATTTTGATTTTTTGTTGCATTGAAATGCCAAAAAATCGGCGGTAGACAAAACGCTTGAAAGCAAACACTTGAAAGCGCGCAGCAAGCGAAATTGTTGCAAAATGGAAACGTAAAGTGTTTTGTTGAAAATTCTCCAAAAACAACAGTGGCGCGAATGTAAACAAAAAGCGATGGCAGTTGGCGCTGGCCCCAGTCAATAAAACAGTGCCAGCTGCCTCTTGTTGTTTTTTAACATTTTCTTTTCTTTTTTTTTTTTATATATTCTGCAGAGTAACTACAAATGCAAATTGCCAGGGCCGCAGTGCCGAACGAAATATTTGCCATGTAAATATGGCCCCGAAAAAAAAAAAAGATATATATAAAAGGAATGAAAGTCCTGGGCCAGCGGTCCTCTGTTCAAGAGCAATTAAATGAAAAATATTTGCGAATGCAGCGAAGTATTTGCTTGAAGTGCCGCCTTTAGTGACCCCGCCCCCCTTTGGAAATGGTTGACAGAAAATTATGAAACTTATTGGGGAGTTGTTTAAGAGCGAAGAAGAAGTTTTCATTTTGAAAAGGAAAACTTCAGGCCGAGGCCCCAGACACATACGCAGACTCATTAAGAGAAGATGGTTGGGATTCTCAAGTGCAAGTCCCGGCACATTCCCTGCGTCAGCAGCTGTCGGCAAAGTAGGGGGAAAACATTTTCATTGGCACAACAGAATGAATTTTCATACAAATTTTATGTAAATTTAACATGACAAGTTTTTTCTCTATTTTTTTTTTCTTTTTGCACGCTGTGTGTTTTGTTGTATGTGTTAGGTGAGTATATGTATGTGAGAGTGCGCATATATCATGGGTTGGTGGCCAACGTGGCGGATGAGCAACATGAGCACCAATTTACACTGCGGATTATGTCACAAAATGTGTGATGGTGGTGTGAGGGTGGAAGAGGGGCCGTACAGGGGAATATCCTAGGGCAGAGATACTTCTTGCACCTCACCGACTTGTCATTTGTGGCTTGCATTTAATTAACAAGCTAATTTTTCAAAGCGCAAATCGCCAAGAAGCCAAAACACAGAGCGCACCACAAATATGACGACTGCAATTTGATGGCCTGTGCCAAAAGCAATATAAATAAAAATAAAATAAAAATATACCCATAGAGGCATTGATATATACAAACAGATATATATATATATATTCGTATATATTTCAGCGCGTTGAAATAGCTGGTTTATGGCCTGCTTGCCAAGATAGATGAACTGTGTCCATCGGATGAAATAGTTTAACGTCTAGGTATTTAAAATCGTTTTTGGTTATTTTTAAACTACACTAATTAAACGAACTTAAACTACGGCCGGCGCAGCATATTATTCAGTATGTTTTCGTAACACAAAATGTCATGTTGAACATGAAATGTTTTTTCCTAATTGAAGAGCCCAAAGTACTATATATTTAGAACTCAAGCCATCTTACTTACTAATGCATTTCTCTGACATTTGCATTAAATCGCAAAATTAATAACCATTTCATGTAAGCAGCTGGAAGCAGAGGGAACAATTTTCCCTAGCCAAAAACATATTAAAATGCCACTCACACGTTAAGCTTGGGTTCTTTCCATTTTGGCACCCAAAAAAAAAAAACATTTTATATTTCCCAAAAAAGTTTCCTTTTGCCTTAACGTTGTTGTTGTTCCCCCTATGTGTGTGTGTGTGTGTATATATATATATGAATTTAGCCAACAACCAACAATAAGCTGCAAATTTTGCATATTTCATAGCTGCTGACAGAGGTTTGGGTTGGAAATCCGGGCGAGACAAGCCAAATAATGGCAAAAAATTTATACAAATAAAACTCACAATTTAAAGCGCATTTTGTTATCCCCCCTAAAAACCCAACCAAATCCTAGCCTTTCTGCCTGCCTCGACCAGCCGCCTGACTGTATGTCTCTCTGTGTGTGTGTGTGTCTGCCTGTGCCTGTGTCCTTTGTCTAACCAAGAGCTTAATACGGAAGCTCTTTGGTCCGGGCTCCCGATGGGGTTACCACCTGCAAAATAAACTACCTGGATTTAATTTTGCACTTTTACGGCACATCCAGCCAGTCATATACACACACATACACACACAAATAGGAAAATGTTTTGCACGAAGGGTAGAGGTAAGACTAAGGAGCATGAAAAGTGTCTTCTGGTGAAAAACTAATATTCATAATGTTCATTTTAAATGTGCCCTGGCAAATTTTGTACAAGTATTTGGGTTGCTACTTTTAAAAGGAGTAAAGTTTTTATATTGGCAACTCGATTTTTAGGTTTTAATGAGCTTACTTAGTGTAAAAAATGAAATTTATAGTAAAATAATGTAAGGCTTTACTACTTTTTAACAAATTTTAAACATTTTAGGATGCAAATTATATATTAAATTGAAATTTTGAAGCTTTTAAAGTAGATTTTTCCTGGCTAACAAAATAGCTAAGTGAATTTAAACCTCTAAGATTTACCACATTTCTAAGGTAAATTTCTCGAAGTGTAGAATTGGGGGGTACTTACACTTTTACGACCATTACTAATCCATAAACCCATCTCTCTCTCTCTCTCTGCTTCTCTTTCCCCGTTCTTTCTTTCCTTTTTTTCTCTTTTGGAAATGCAGCACATGGTGCAGGCGGGCGTGGCGCCTTTTCCGGGCGCTCCGGCCGGCTATGCCGCCGCAGCAAATCCTGCAGCAGCGGCAGTTGCAGCAGCAGCTGCCGCCCAACAGCAGCAGGCACAGCAGCAGCAGCAGCAACAACAACAGCAACAGCAGCAGGCCCAGCAACAGCAGCAGCAACAACAACAGGTGGCCGGCGGAGCAGCACCACCCACAGCTGCCGACAGTTTGTCCATGGCTGTGGCAGCGGCGGCTGCAAAACAAGCTGCTGATCCAGTGACCCAATTGAAAACGGGCAGCGGTGGTGTTAATGGCGAGGCCGCAGGATCTGCCAGCAACAACAATAACAACACAGCTGGTGCGGCTGGAGCGCCAGGATCTGCCGGAGGATTGACCACAGAATATTCAACTGGCTGCGGGGCCAGTGGTGGTGGAGGTGGCAACGGTGTTGCAACATCCTCCATTTCGGTGGCCGTGGCCAGCAGCAATGTTTCCGACGTTGTCAATGCCTCGATGTACATGCAACAGAAGGTGAGTTGTGCCTGGTTAATTGTTTGACCTTTTCCCTCCCCCCCCACCTTTCTCCAATACCCCCTTCATAAACCTCTCTCACTACTGCCATTTCAACCAACTGAAGACAAACACCCATTCCACCTACTCGCTCTCACTATGTTTGTGTGTGTGTGTGTGTTTGATATGCATTTTGTAGCTTTGTTTGGTTTTTGGCTTTTGGGTTCGCTTCGGTTTGGTTTGGTTTGGTCTGCTTTGGTTTTTAGCTCTGCTTTGATTTGGTTACGCACACTCAATACACAGAAGCCAACGCACACACACACACACACTCAGACATATAGATATCAACGCTACACTTAACATAAATTCATAGCATTTTATCATTACACTGAGAAGTATTTAAAAAAAATTATAATTAAATTATTTAACTGATTTAAAGTTAGTCTGGTTGTGGTCTGTTCTTGTAGCATATTTATCTCAATATATTTGTGTTATTTTTCTTAAAAATGTATAAAAAAAAGAATTTTCTTATTTTAAAATTAAAGAAAAAAAGCGAAAAAGTCAACGAATTTTGAAAATTAAGATAAAATAAGACAATATTGGAAATGGGCACCTTAAATCAAAAAGAATTATTCAAATCTTGAAATATTTTATATTTAACTTCTCTTTAGCCAATTATTTTTGTCAGTGTATGCCGGGGCATACAAATGGAGGCCGTGCTTGATATCGCTGTTGCAGCTGCTCTTGTTTAGTAGTCAGTATTTGTTGTTGGTGTAAGCGCTTTGCTTTTACATTTTTAATTGCAGCGAACAGCACAGAGAAAAGTGCCAACAGCAAGCAACACTCACGCACTTTGCCATCCACAGACACACACACAGTCACACGTTCTCATATGTATACACCAACTCACCTGCAGTTGTTTGTGTTGGTTGTTTTTTGTAGCATACTTTTAGCCGTACAGCCACACTCTCGTTTCTCATTTGACCCTGGAGCTGGGTTTACAGAATGCTTTGTAGTTTATTGTTTCATCGCTTCTAATTAAAAATTGACTATGGCATAAAGTTGCATTTTGTAAAATAATAGAGAATTACATTTTTACCAACTTTTAAGGTAAGCAAAAACAAAATTTATTTTTGCTGGGGCATAGAATGTCGAGATGGAAAATGGTAAATCAGCAATTTTTGATCTAACCAGTTGAATAAATACAAAGTCTTGTTTGGCTATTGACCAACAGATATTTGCTTATGAAAATTGATTCGTGCATTTGAATAATTTAACAGATGAGAGCATTAGATGTATTTTTCGAAATTCTAGCCCATACACACACACACACACACACACACACACTTGCCTTGCAGGTGTAATAAATAAGCAAATATTGAATTAATTGCTATGAATGTGGTATGTGCTTTTTAAACTTTGACTGGCTTTATGTTTAACGTAGTTCACAATTAATTAAATACTATGTTAGGCTATGCGAACAATGCGCACAATATGGAATCTCACACTCTCAATGTGTTGTTGTTGTTGTTGTTGTTGCTGTTTGCTTTCTGGCCTGCGGGCAAAATTCAACGAAAATGCCAATTAATTTTCGATACTTAAACATGGGGTAGAATTTAATATGCTTATTTATGTGCAACAAAAGTCCGTGGTTAGTTAAAGCAAATGAGGTGAAAAATGTTCAGCCAGTCTTAAGGCCTTAAATCCCAGGCGGCTTAAGACACTTGAATGTGCAATAACTTTGGTCAGATCAGAATTGTATATTTATTTCACTTTTTCTTCTATTGTGCATTCAATCAAATGTTTAGCAATATTAATTGGCCAACAAAAGCAACAATTCAAATGGCCAACGCATAAATCAAAAATAAATCATAAATGAAGCAGAAAAATGGAGATAAAAAGTGAGAAAAAGGATATAAATCAAAAGGCAAACAAATGTGAGCAATTAGAATGTTCTTTTCTGGCTGAAAATTTTAAATAAATTTACATTTTCTCTTGATTTTAGTTAGTTTTTTGAGTTGTGAGAAGAGCTGTATGTAATAGAGGTCATTCATCTAGCTAATAATTGAACTAAACTTGACATAAACTTCTTAAAATTAGATTTATAAAATAATTAGGATATTATACAGGGTGGCCCATGTAGCGTTTGCCTTTTGAACTATCGAAAACTTTGACTTTGACATTTCGAATGTTAGTGTCAATGTGTTAGATAGTAGTAGATGGTTTGCGGCTTAAGAAAGGTTAAGTTTCCGCTCGAAGAAAAGGAAGGGAAATATTGATATTTTTATGGCGATTAAAGCAAATCTTACGTGGGCCACGCTATATTTGCAAACTGTTTATTATTTCCATAGATAGTTACCCTCCAAAAATATATTTACTAAAACTAAAGTTATATGTTTGAAAAATGTTCAAAAACAATGTAAGAAAAACCTTTATTAAATCATTAAGACACATTGGATGATTGTAAGCTGGCATTTAGTTTGTTGACCCCTTTGCATTCTGTCATGATTCATTATACTTTGATATACAAATATATATATATAAATATAAATCTCTATATGGTAACTGTATTCAAGATAATATATTCAAGGCATGTTCCAAGCAATTAAGCAGCTGTAAAACGGTTGAGAGTAAAAAATTAAGCTACCCATTTAAGCAAATTGTTGGTGTTGGTCGCCTGCCGCCTGTCTGCCTGTCTGGTTTCTTCTTCTCTTGTGTTTTTTTTTTTTAATGTTAGTCCACTCTACACTCTGTCTCTTAATCCAAGTCCTTCACACACACACACACACACACACTCACACATACTCGTACATATAGATGAAGATAAGCAAACACACACAGAGAGAGAGAGAGGCTGCAAGAACTGCAACTGCAACTAAAACGCAAATCCTTGTTGTTATCTGAAAATTTATCACAGACAAATCTGTCAACAACACAAACACAGACACAACAGTACGAGTACGAGCACGAGTACGAGTACAATGGAACCAGCCTCGCAGAACCAAGAGTCCCAGGTCCCATTCCGCATCCACTGACAAATGGACATGCCATGGACCAAGTGCAACATCAACAGCAGCCACCAGAACACCAGCACCAGCATCTGCAATCATCGCTGCCCCCACAAAATGTGCTCAGCATAGTGAGTCAGCCACCAACAAAAAATTATAATAAAATAAACAAACGAGCAAAAAATATATAAAAAAAAATAATAACTATATAGAAAAGAGAGAGAGAGAGAAAAAAGCCGGGCGGACAATTGAAATTTACGTGCTGGTTTCTTCTTGGTCTTACCATGTTTTCTTTTTACCATTTTTGCTCTCCTATTTGTTTACCAAGCTCATCTTCATTAGGCGACCAACCGACTACTGTCCAGGGTAAAGCTGCTTTTTGCCTCAACTTGAACTCTTTTGTAACTGAATTTTTCTATTCATTGTCAACGTCCTCATCAGGGAAACTTTGTTCTTTATGCCTGGCAAAGGCAGATGTTGGCCAAGTTTTTTTTTTTTTATAATTAATTGAGTTGAGGGAATTAAATTGCAGCTGTGGTTATCAGTGTAGCCGAAAAAACGTGATTAAAGGGCTTATAATTCTTTGTTTTGCACTATGAAAGTTTATTTGTAAAGAACTAAGGAGATTTCATAATATTTCTTTTAAGTTCTTTTCTTATATTAACCAAAAAGAAACCAATTTGAATCAAAAATGCGAAAGGAAAGCAAACATAATCCAAGCTAATATTATTCCTCAAACAAAAATCAGATCAAAACTTACCTCTTTGCCGTGACCGATTAAATTAAGATATAGAAAATAAAACCCTGAAATCAAATTCGATCTTAAGTTAGCCAGTAAGGCCCCATTCAAAGTTCAAGAATAATACCCCCCAAGTCAAATATTCAAATCAAAACAATTTAGAGCAAATTTCTTGCCTTTTTCGCTGGACGAATCGGGGGAAGAAAAAAACTTTTCAAATTTATGCAGAAATTCTTTTAATGCCGAATCAAAGCAAAATGCCGGCGACCTTTTTGCAGCCATTTCGCGTGCCGCACAAAGGCATTTCGATAAACTAAAAAAGCGTTAAATGTCATTTACGTGTAACCCGATACCCGAAACAATAAACCGCCCTCCGCCCACCCTCGCTACCTTCCGCTGTTTGGCCATTTATGGGGCCAAAGTTTTTCACGCCATTTCACTTTGGTCCCGAAATGTTCGGTAAACATGCAAACCAAACTCTGAACCAAAAAAAAAAAATAAAGAAATGTGCAAAGTGAGGAAAAAATATGTATTGTCAGGGCGGGCAAAAATTTGGTTTAGATTTATGTGTCAACAATGCGCAGCAAATTAAGTTAAGCGTTATTTCTATTGCCTACATTACGGGGCAAACGCAATCTCTACGCTGTTTTCCTTTTTTCTTCTTCTCGTTTTTATTGCATTGTCATCGAATTTGGTCGCCTGCGTAAATTGAGAATTTTTCATATTATTCCGTTTCGGATCGGAGTCTGCGGAGGGGGCGGCAGCGGCGGTGTTGAAACAACAATACCCTTCGATGGCAGTGCATTTTCAGTTTTAATAATGCAGAAATACAAAATGCAAACATTTCCGCGGGCTCCCTAGGGGATTTCTGTTGCACTGCGGTGGATTGGGTATATTGCAACAGTTTGCGCGACAGTTTTATTGCATAAGTCAACACAAGTTTGTGCCACAAAATATGTACGTACGTACGTATGTGTGTGTGTGTGTGTTTGCTGTTGTTGTTGGAGCTCCTGTTCTCCCCTGTCTGTCTCTTTAACGGTATGTGTGTGTGTATATATAACTTTTTTATTGGGTCAAACCCAAACCCAAACACACACACACACACCCACACACACACAGAGAGAGATATGCGTGTGGCCCGCTTTTGCGACCCCTTACAGGATTTTCATCTCTCCCGGGATGTAAACCACTTGAAAATTGTATTTTCATTTCAATTGTTTATTTATTGCGGCACTTGTTCGCATTCGATTTGCCAGCCATCGCTGAAAACTCAACGGCAAAAAAAATATCGAAGCGAAATACCAACTGCAAACATGAAAGGCAAACAGCTGGAGTGCTTTCGAAAGTTTTCGCAAAAATCGCTTTTCCACTAAATGAGATTGGAAAATTTAATTTTCACTTTTAGTGGCGTTTTTTTTTTGGGCAACACAATTTGCGGTTCTCCAGAAAAATTTGATTTAAAAAGGTGAAAATAATACTAAAAAATTGGGAAAAGAAATTGAATTAACTAAAAAATAGAATATTAAAAGCAAACAGCAGGCTAAAAAATATTAAAAAATAAGAAAAAATAGAAAAAATATGAATTTTGTAGAAAATAAATCAGTAATTTTTCTTAAGGAATCTATATTTTATATTCTTAAAACTTTAATAAATTTTAAAATAAGATCTAAAGACTAAAACCCATTTCTAATTCATTTCTTTTCCCTTCCTTTTTTGCAGTCCACAGTATTGATCGCCAATGAGGCAGCAGAAACACAACAGAACTCCGCCATGCCCAATTCTGGAGGCATTAATACTGGCGGCGGTGGCGGTGGAGGCGGCGGCGGCACGCCCAATTCACCGCTCAGCAGCTCCCCGTCCAGCGCAACAGCCTCACAGGCGGGCGGATGCGGACTTACCCTCAATGGCAACGCCACCGAGGGCAGTATGTCCGGTGATACATCGCCGGTGGCCAGTGGTGAACCGCTCCTGCAGACGCCGCCCGCCCTCCAACAACAACAGCAACAGCAGCAGCAGCAGCAGCAGCAACCGCTCCTGTGCAGCAGTCCCACATCGATGCAATCGGCGGGCACTTCAGTGACGGGCAGCTCGATATCAACTGGCACATTGGCATCAACCAGCAGCAGTGGCGTTGGACTTTTGCCCACCACGGGATTGGATACAATTGCCAATGGTGGCGGTGCAGCCGTGGTCCCAGCGAGCACATCACAGGTGATCGCCCACCTGAATGCTGCGGCAGCAGCTGCCAGTGGCATCATGTCGCCCACCTCGAACGTGGCCACCAGTCTCAGCAACGCCCTAGTCCCGGCCCAATCGGTAGCCGCCGTTGCAGCCGCCTCCCTCGATGCCAAGAGCCAGCCAAAGAGGCTGCATGTCTCCAACATACCGTTCCGCTTCCGGGATCCCGATCTAAGGGCCATGTTTGGGGTGAGTAATGGCAGAGAATTGTAGGAAGATGTATATTTAGAATAGGTCTATTCAGGTTTTCGATTTACAAAAATCGAATTAAAGTCAGAAGAAATCTCTTAGCCAGAAACTTAATCTTGAGAAAAGTTTAACTCATTAATATAACCCTTCTTAAGGCTGCTTATCTAACTTGTTGAAAATTCCTATGAACATAGACTACCCTTAGATAGACTGAACCCCTTGCAATCTTTCTAAATATTAATATTTATTATTTTTCTATTCCCCAGCAATTTGGCACCATTCTGGATGTGGAAATCATTTTCAACGAACGCGGCAGCAAGGTAAGTTTTCGCCAAAAACTTTCTATCCTTAGTAGAAAAGAGTTTGCTGCCGCCTTCCTCTGCACTTGCCTGCTCAACCTCTCTCTCTCTCTTTCTGGCCAGCTTAGAGCTCGGTCTCTCCACCAAACTGCCGCCAATTGTGCGGGACATTTTGCATCTAATTGTCGACAATTCATTTAAATTATGCACTTCAAGTATTCCCAGATGAGATGAGTCTTTGTCCGTGTCGCCAGGGCAACCTTGTTGAGTTGTCTTTTTTTCAAGGCATTATTATTATGCCCGGCGTGGAGCCTGGTGAAAATAATTGCATAGTTACCATAGCACCAGGAATTGTGCATAATTCAGGGACCAAGGCACCCCCCAAACACCTTGAGATGCTCAAGGAGAGAGTTGGTTTTCTTTTTTTTTACATTTTTTGGGAGAGAGCCATGGCGGGCAGAAGGAGGCGGACTTAGGAATAGTGTGTGCAAAGTAGGGCACGTGCATGTTGCAGTTGCAGTCGCCACCCAAAAAAAAAAGTCTAAAAGAAAGCAACAAACCCAAGCCCCAAAATCCCAATCCCAATCCAAGAAACCCAACCAAAGCCCAGGAGTAAAAAGATGTGCCAATGGCCCCTGTCCGAAAGCATGTCCTTGGCCGCCTTGTTGATGTATTTGTAGCTTTAGCTTTATCTATTTATAGTAATAATAATAATAATAATAATAAATACATATATACGAACTGCAACAAGATCCCGAAGAAGAGAACCGACTTTGTTGTACCAAATTGTTATAAGTTTTTTAGTTCTTTTTTTGGAAAATCGTAATCTATATATATATATATATATACTCTATATGTTTCTTTAATTGCATGTTTGATTGCGAATGGCAGGGATTCGGTTTTGTAACATTCGCTAACAGCAACGATGCAGAACGAGCACGCGAACGTCTACACGGCACCGTGGTTGAGGGACGCAAAATCGAGGTGGGTGCATGCCATATCATTATATACAACTTACCTACACACACACACACACACCCCTAACTAATTATATCTTATACCATGATATCACAGGAGTAGCGTAAAGAAATTGCTTTTCAACTTTTAATCCTTGCGTGTCAGAAGCGATATGGCTTTAAAAATCCTTCATACTACATTATCTTTATTTTTCTTTTACTTTGTTTTTTTTTTTACATTTAAGCCAAGGACTAGCGGCACAGTGATTGATTCTTATTTGCCTTTCATTAAAAATTAATTACACATTTCTCCTTTTCGCCTTCGTTTGCTGATTAATGCTCACACTGCCACTGAGAGCCGCAAATAATTGGCATTTAAAATATGCTGAAAATGCGCAAAGTACGGTACCGACTCGTCGGTTGGTTAAACAAATTAACTGAGCCGCATAAAAGGCTGCAACGAAATGTTATTTCCCTGCCAAATGGCAACGGAAATCGCGCGAGTCTAATTAAGTCCGTGTGTCCACAAATGGATTTCATATACATCTGTATATCTGTATATGTATGTGTATATATCGCGGAACCGGAAACGGAAACGAATGTCCGTCCGTTCGCTGAAAGCCTTCAAAAATTAATTTTCTTTATTTTTTCAATCGCAACAAATGAAATTTAAATAAAGTTCAGCTTTCACGCGAAAACTTTTCCACAATAACTCGGGCAAAATGTAGTCTTTGTTATTTTTGATTTCTAAAAGCTTAAACGAATAATAATCCTTTGAGGGTTTTGAACTATTTTTTATGGATATTATTAAATGTATTTTAAGCCTTAATCAAAGGGCTTTGAACCAAAAATAGTTTAAATTGGCCTTAAAATCCAGAAAAAAACATGTTTTAAAATTACCAAAAAAATCTTTTAAAATAGTTTAAACACCCTTCTAACACACACACCCCTCCACACACACACACTTTTACACAATTTGCAAAGATTTTCGTAATTGTTAACTAACACAAAATTTATTTCTACATTCTCTATACATGCGATCTTTTTAAATCTATATATACTCTGCTCATATGTGTGTGTATATGATCTTAAAAAAAATAAAATCAAATAAATCTTAAAACTCATCACCAAACCAACAACAACAACTACAACAACAACCACGCTCGCTGAACTATCAAAAAATCAAAAATTAAAAATCAAAATAAAAACGAAATAACCAATTGTGAAGGTGAATAACGCCACTGCACGTGTACAAACCAAAAAAGTGACAACAGTACCCAACGGTAAGTGACCCTAACACACTCACACACTATCTCATTCATACAGTCATATGTAATGTAATCTCACACACATACATACCAACGGCAGCTAAGTTTGTAAGCCACATAATGAAACAAGTTGAAATGTTTTTGGGCCAAGAAAACGCAATTACGATGAAATGCAACAGCAACAGCAGCAAAGGCTACCAAAATAGCAATAAAAGTCTGCTCAATTTAAGTGCGCATTGTTTTTGCTGCTATTGTTTAGTTTCTTAACATTCCTCAAGTTTTTTTTGTTTTTGTTTTGTTTTTGCTGTTTTTGTTTGTTTGTGTTTTTTGGAAGTTTTCACATCAACTTCTTTGGTGGCCAAAAACTGAAACTAAAACTGAGAAATTGAGTTGCCAGCCGAATGTGTGTTTCCCTAATGAAAATGTTACGATTTTTGTTTTGTTGGCAGCACACGCTAGAACATGTTCTCCCCCCTCCCCCAGCTTTAAGTAATCAGAAAAATGTTGCCACTAATTTAAGGGAAAACCATTTTCAATATATGTTTTATATATAAATCCATTTATCTGCCTTTTGTTATTTAATTTCTTGGGGTTTTGCGGCTGCCTAACCAAACGCACATTCAAGAAACACCAGAAAAATAATAATAATATTTAATACACATCAAAATTATAATGCGTATTTGTGGTTTCGATTAAGTTAATGTTTAATGCGTCTGCTTTTGACTATGATATTGATGATGATGATGATAATGATAATGATGATGATTATAATGATTGACCAGCGTTATTTATATGATTTTCATTTTGTTTTCTCTCAAACACCCCACACAGTTGTACTGACCAAAGATGGTGCCATACCGGCCCCAGCTCTAGGTGAGCCAAATCCAAATCCAAAACAAAAAGAAAAAACCCTTAAAAACCCCTCCCAACAAAAACCAAAATGAATTCTTAAACGTATTTTAGTTTTTGTTAGTTTGTGTGCCTGCCTGAAAAGAAAGTAAAAAAAACAAAAAAGAAAACTAAACTTAACTATCTTTCCCATGCGAATGCTCGCTGCTTGCAGCTTCTATATATTCGTTAGATTTAAATGAGAGGTCCTCGGAAATGCCTTGGCATGTTGCACGTTAACTGTTGCTAACTGTGTATTGTACTCGCCCTTCACTCCCCCCCCTCTATATTGGCTGAATGAAATCAAAATTTAAACTTGCCCCCTCAAACGATATACTCCATTAAAAATAAATAAGCTAATGTTTAAATCTGTCTCTGTCCCAGCATGTTAAAAACAAAGGTTAAGAAATGTTTGTAGGGATGCCCAAAAGTCATTGGAGATTTTATATTTAAGTTTAAGGTTCTTAAAATATAAAAATATTTGAAGATTTTGGATTACTAGAGATTTCTGAGAACCTTAAAAAAGAGTCTAAATAGGATACCAATGTCTGGCCATATTTTTCCTAAATGTTTTCTTAGAAATAACCATAAATCCAGGTTTCAGTTTCTTGATTTTATTTCTATTTCATTTAGTTTAATAATTAAATTTATAAATATTCTAAAAATAAATAAATATCCTGTCTGATTGCTAAGCCATTTACCTCAACTTTTATGCTCTTTTTCCGACTTCAAAATCAAAAATAGCCATCTTAAAGTTCACTCAGCCAGAAGTTCTTCGTTATTTCTTGTACCATTTGCAGTTTAAAGAAGTGCTTATTCTCCCTCACCCTTCTTTCCAGAAATAACTATAAAAAGCGAGATGAGTAGCAGAGCAGAGGGAAAGAAAAGTTGAAAGCAGAGAAAAGTTTTTCCATGCAATGTATATAATAAATAATACTGCTGATTAAATCGTCTTCTCTCTGTTTGCCATTAAAAAGTATTCACAGCGCAAAATCTATACTTTGGGTACGCTCAATACGATAAGCCGCTTACAAAACCGACCAAACCAAACCAAACCAAACCCAAAACCGAACTCAAGGCATGAGATTGGAAAAGGTTGAGGCTGTGAAACTGGTAAGAAGGAGACTGCTGGTAAAGCGGCTCAGGCAGGACGTTGGCAGCTTTTCTCCAGCTCCATCTGCATCTCCATCTCCATCTCTATCTCTGTCTCAGTCCTGAGTCTGTGCTCCTGTTTCCCTGGTCTCTGGTGGTCGGTTATCCTTTTGCTGATGCAAAATGCTTTTGTATTGCCAACAAAACTTAGAGTCGGACACAAAAAGGGCAATATGAACAGAGCCAGAGGAGCATGTTTGCCATTTTCCCAGGCAACTTACCCATCCTGACAGCTCACATTTTGGTCCTGTCCTATGCCGTCCCATTCTGTCCTGTCCTTGGCCATGTGCACGTGCACCTAATGCGCTTCATTTGCGTTGCACTAAATGCTGCCGGAGCCCAAGAAGTCGCAGGCGAGCTTAGTATATTGTACACCACAAAAAACAGTCTTCAGTTACAGTATCAGAAATGGCCATTATGTCTTTAGTTAGTTGAAGAAATGAACTAAAAACTTAAAAGAAACAACTTTTTAGATATATTTGTCTGCCTTTTAAACATTAGTAAAGTTTTTTTTAAGTGCCTTGAGAAGAATGAAATCGAAAAGACAGCTGTAGAGTATTTTCCGTAGCTCCTGGCAGTCACTTTATCACGTTTCGAACTGGCTTCTTCTTTTGCATGGCAAATCGCCTGCTGCATTATTACCCAGCCGGAGGACGCCACGCTCACGTCGTTGTCCTGCTCGTTAGGCGGCAGTCAGGGTTTCAGAGAAGTCACTCAGTCAGCCAGTCAGTCAGTCAGTCAGTCAGTCAAGCGGCAGTTGGGATAATTGCAAATAAACCACAAAGTTGCAAACATGTGGTGGCTGGCGCCCCCTGCTGGCCAAACAAACCTCCATAAATTTCGCAAAAAAAAAAAAGAGGAAGAAAAAAAGGAAAGTTTTCTGGTTATATCCTAGAGGCGGAGTAGCACCCTTTGCAGAACGTTTTATCCGAGCCCTGTGTTTTGTTATGGTATATATTCCCCCCTACACCCCACACCCCCCACACACACGCACGCACACACATACCTACTTTGTGCATTTGCAAGAAAATTTACTTCGTATAGGTTGATTTTCCCGCACAATTTCCCCCTTTTCTGACTTCAAGGCTCATCTTCTTGCCATTTGAACTTTCTTGGTGTGTGTGAGTTTCCTTTCTTCTTTCTTTTTTTTCTGCGTTGATCCTTTGACATGTTAAACTTAATGCCCTCTTTACCCCCTCCGCCCCCCCTTTCGTTTTTCTGTCTGTCTGACATGTCTCTTAGTGCATTTTTCGATGGTATTTCTGGGTATTTATTTTGCCATTTTCCCAGGCAATTGCAGACTCCTGTGAATTTCCATGGCACAAAGCGAGAGAGAGAGGGGAAACTCATTGTGTAAGCATTCGATCGTTGGAAGGAAGCAATCATTGCTTGCTTATTTGTCATTTTGTTAAGCATTTCTTTTGCATTTGCAATGAATGCAAAAGCTTAAAATTACAGAGGGAGAAAATATATGTATTTGGCAGCCATAGTTCTGTTAACTATCCTTTACCATCTGTCTAAGCCCCCCCCTGTTTCTCTATGTGTAAACCCTATTTTCCATTCACATATGTATGCAAATAAACCGAACATTTCCCAATGAGAGAAAACACAAGGATGCTGCATGCACCAGCAAACAGTGAAAACACAATGCCACAAATCAATTAGAATTCTACAGTATTTAACCAATTACCATAAGCACTAAAAAAGAAAATCAATTTAGTATCTGTTATAGAGCTGCCTGTTTTTTTTTTTCTCTCTATATATATATATATATATCTGTGCCTAAGACATGTATCCAACAAATATAAACCTGGGCAACCCAAACAATATAAATGCAACAAAGAAACCTCTTTTTTGAATGTGAAACTAATGAAAATATTTTCTTTTCCCTTTTCCATGCCAACAAACAAAAATATATATATCTATATATATATATTTCCCGGATATAGTCTGCGTACAATGGCCAGAAGGTAAGCGTTTCGTCTGTTTTTTTATTCTTCAATGTTTTATTGCTATTATTACGTATTTATTGCCTGCCGTACTTTCGTTGTAAATTCTCAAAATAATACACACAAAATCCAACACCACTCTGCGCGCGTCCATACAGCAAACCAATAAGTTATCATAAATGTACTATAATTGACCAGTTTTCGTTTCTGTAAACCTACTCGTTTACTACTACTGTATTTTTAAGAGTTTTATCAACGAATTTTTTTAGCTCGTAAGCCGAAAGACTTATATATATAAATATATTCTAGGCAGGGTATATATGTTGATATTGTTATGGCGGCTATAAGCCCATAGGTCATCGTTCAGGGGTAATGAAAGAGAAGTCCCCAAAAAGTTCACCAAAATGAAACCATTTTTGCGATTGCATTTGTTCGTTATTCTTAGTTATTATTTTGTTTGCAATCTGTGCAAATATGTTTGGACAAAGTATATATATATTTTTACAAGCATTTTCTTTCATTTAAATAGAAAAATTTCATTTTGATTTTTCTGGTAGGTCCCAACGAAAGTTTCGTTAATCTATATAAACTATGCATACAATCTATATATGAATATAATGCTGCAACTTATTTGGTAACTGTTTGTAAAAGTTTAATTCATTTTTTTTTTTAAGTTTTTTTTTCAAATATTATTTTCTCTCTTTTTGTCTGCATTTAACCAAAGTTCAATCAAAGTGAAAAATACCAAGCAAGCTAAAAACCAACAAACTGAAATGAAAATGTAATTTGTTTTCGAAATCATAAAAAGCCACATTAACACCCGCTCGAAAATCCCGTTTTTATAAAGCAGGCCCGTATGCCACTTTCTTTTTAGTGTCCTGATTTTGTATTAATAATCAATAATAATTGATCAAAATAATGCTGATGATGAGATGATAATGATAATGATGATGACTGATGACTGAGAGAGATCATATACTGGTGGTTATGAGTTTAGCATATTGCGGCTGTGTTGTCTTATGCATACCTACCTACTATTATATATATACATATATATACTTTATATATCAATTTAATATGCCAACTACTATTTGATCTACATATCCTTTCTCTTAACCAGTTTCGTTTCGTGTATGTGCGTTCCATTATTATGATTATATAATATGATTATGAATTTGAATTATTGACTTTGATTAATTGTGTATCTTCTTTGTTGTCCTTGATTTTTACATTATTTGTCTTATATTACACGTTATTACACGTTATTTTACGTTTGGTCTGGTATTCCTTTGGTCTGAACATGTCTGAGATGCTCTCCTTAGCGTAAAACTATTTATATTCGTACTCGTAACTGTAACTGGTAAATGGTAACTGGTAACTGGTAACTGGTAACCGTCGCGCGCCAAGTTCCAATACCAAAAGTCTAACTTAGCACTAGAACTAAGCAAAAAATGCAAAACAACAACAACAACAACAGCAACAGCAACCTCATCATGCATCCCTCGAATATGTATATAAAAAAAAAAGAGAAAAACAACCTTTCCACGCACACACTACTTAACACATTGCATTCTAAGTTCATTTCTAATGGTGACCAGCAAGAACCACAAAAAAAACCAAAAAAAAAAATATGAAAATTTATTGAAAAACAAAACCTGTATGCCAAATCCAAGGTTATCGCCTGCCGGTCGCCGCCTGGCCATTCCTGGGCGCCCCCGTTGGCGCCGGAGCACCCGCCCTCACCCACCTCCAGCTGCCCGTATCCATGCAGATGGCGCAAGCGCCGACAGCGGTCGCTGCTGGTACAGCGGCAACATCGCCGGCAACGGCAGCAGCGGCCGCCGCTCATGCAGCGGCTGCAGCGGCAGCCACGCCCATTATGCTAGCGCCACGCCCACCGCATACCGCTGTCCAAGCAGCAGCGCCCACAGCATCAACGCCACGGCGGAGGTACGACGAAAAGTGTTCGAAAAAGCGAAAAAAAGATTCCTGATCTCAGGATCCTTGGTGAAAACGCGCGCCTAAAAGCAGAATTCAAAAAGCATATAAAGAAAAGTCGATTACTACGTTTATGGGCAAGCTATTTGTTTGATAAAAAATGAATTTTTAAAAAATGTTCGAAATGAGAAACTGTTCAAAACGAAGAAGATATTTTTAAGAGTAAAACTTATCGAGTTCTTAAACCATTCAGCCATATAAGCTGACATCTGAAGAAGAAGAAGAAGTTATTTTTTAAAGTAAAATTTATCGAATTCTTAAACCATTAAGCCATGACATCTGAAGATCTAAAAGAAAAACCGCAAATCCAACTCAAAGGCTTACTTCTAAACGTAGTAATCGATTAACCGATAAAAGATATTAATCAAACACTGCAACAACAACTAGAACCAGAACCAAGATCACCAAACTTTTTAGCTATGAGATAATATCTTTGTACCATAATACAGTATAAATGTTTGTTGTCTTGTTACTTTGGTTTTACGCATTTGGGTATGAACTATTTGACTATCGATATATTCCATAACTATTGCATACTTTTTGCCGTCCTTGAGATTGCATTGTTCGTTAGGCACACACACAAACATCCACTGACACTCGATCGAAGCAGTATACATAATTTTGGAAATAATTTAAAAAAAAAAACTAGTGGCAACCACCTGAAACTGTAACCGTAACTAGCTGTTAAGAATGGCAAGGTCTTAGCTTTAACCTTAGACTAAATTCTATATCGTATATCGTATATATATCGAACATTTTTATATCGTAAACGTTTAACGGTAGCGAACATTTTGCCGCAGCAAGCATTTTTCGTAAGGCCTTTTCTCTTAGAGCATCACTATCTATCTATATCTAGCTACCATACTATCTTTCTCAACTATCCAAACTCGTTCCCCCCTATATATCTTTTCTTTAGCTCTCATTTGTTATGGGTTCTTCTTAGACTCTCCCAAGTTTGCACGTCTTTTCTGTTTGTCTTTCTAACTTGGCTTTGTGTGCGAATTCCATTTGCCAATCAAAATCAGCAAAAACCAAAACTTGAATGGAATTTAATTTATAAAAATTGATTTTTGCATGCCACCTAGACTATTCTCTTATTTCTTTGATAATTTTGTTGCCAAAGCATTTAATTTGTACAGCCAACGAAATAAGCACAAAATTTTCGAAAAAAAAAAATATTTATCAGCTGAAATTTGTTAGAAATTTTCTATGAAATTCTTCGGCACACACACACACACACACTCAGAGAGGCACACAAATGTTTGGCCAATAATTTGCATACAAATATGGCAAATCGAATTTTTAATTGCATGTTGTGTTGGTCAAACAAATTTTCAATTTGTGGCTCACAATGTTGCCAAATACAACGACGTTCAGAGGCCCAAAAAATAATTTTCATACATTTCAATTATGATTTGTGCACTGATTTCCGTACTCGGAAAATGTCACATACCTCTGCGGACGATCATAATAATGAGCGCAGGCCGGCTTTCTGGTTAACGGTCGGCTTTTCTGGCCAAATTGTTAATTATGAGAGGCCAGACAGGCGTATGTATGCCTGCAATTATTATAAATTGAGTGATAAAACCGCGTGGCATTAATAAAAGTGCAATATTTAAACTGCGGCTTATGTGGCCCGAATGCGAATTAAAAGCGATTTAATTGTATTTTTGTTTTAAATTACGGCAGACAGCCTTTGTGTTACTAATTTAAAGTTTAGTTAAGATTAAAAAATATATTTCTTTTCTCCTAAAAACCAAGTAAATGGAAGACAAATTCTTAGAACAAACTTTAACTTTATATTTTGATTTATTTGGCTTATAATTTACCCCTTCTGCATGAAGTTAATACCCTTCCCTAACCCATCCCATCTTCTAAAACCAAAAATCTAAACTCAAAACTCTTTCCTAAAACCTTAAAAACTGCATTTCCAATGGCCTTTCTTGTTATTTTTAACTTAGCACTTGGTAAATGTTCTTGCTAGTTTTAAATGTATTTGAGAGGTGCAAGGGTTAAGCGAAGAATTCAATGTATTTTATTTACTTAAATGCTTTTAACCCCTCTCACACACACACACACACACACATGCAGATGCAATTGCAGTTGTTGAAACAAAAAAACAAAAAAAAGGTCTTGCCGCATACGTACACATATGGATGTATGCTATATACTACTACTACTACTGTACTAAAGATCGGTCCAATGTTTTTTCGTAATGTTGATAAAATATCTCTCTCTACATACATATATATACTTATATATATACTATACATAATTATGCAATATAAAGTGCAACTAATGCGTAGCATTTCTTGGTAATTGAGTGTTCTAATGTTTAAGTATGTTTCGATATAAATCCCATTTACATTTACATATGTATGAGCTACACTACACGTATGTCTTATGTATTGTTATATGTATATACCAACATCATCTCAGCGCTATGAATATATATACCAAAAAAAAAATCAAAATCGTTACTACATAATGCCTAGATTTGCCATATATAAACTATATACTATATATATATAAATATTTACTTAAATATCAAGAGACAAAACTAACCGCATGCGTTTTATGTTCTTTTCTTTTCCTTTTTCTACTTTTTGCACACAAAAAAAAAAAAAAAAACATAACTATAAAAAAAACAAACACATACACTGGTCAAAAATGTTGTGTCAAATGGTTGCAAAAAAAAAACAAAACAAACAAATTTTATAAATCCCCCAAAAATATACGAATTTCCGTATCGGTTCGGTGATTCCTGCAGCCGCCGTTGCCGCCGCAATGCGTGGAGTGGCCATCCAGCGCGGACATGTGGGCGTGGTCGGCGCCACACCCTACCATCATCCCCATCATCCGCATCACCATCCGGCCCTATTGGCGGCCACCGCCGCCGCCGCCCAACAACAGCAGCAACGCCAACTGGCCGCCGCCGCCGTGGCCACAGCAGCAGTCGCCCAACAGCAGCAGCAACAGCAGCAGCAGGCCGTTGTCCAACAGCAGCAGCAGCAAGTTGTTGCCGCCGCCCAGCAGCAACATCAACAGCAACAGGCCCAGCAACAGCAACAGGCAGTGGTGCAACAGCAACAGGCGGCTGTGCAACACCAACAGCAACAGCAGCAGCAACATCATCAACAACAGCAACAGCAGCAGCAACAACAGCAACATGCCGCCGTAGCCGCCGCCGCCGCAGCTGCCGCTTCGCATCCGCATATGCATGCCGCCCATGCCCATGCCCACGCCCATGCTTTAGGGCCACAATTGGCCCAATTGCAAGCGGTGGCAGTACCCACAGCCGCTAGCAATGCTGCAGCATTGCAACAATCATTGGCCGCTGCCATACAGAATCCGAGCGGTAATCCAAATGCTGCTGCCGCCGCCGCAGCTTATGCCGCTCGCCTATCGGCGGCAACGGGCGCCACACAATCATCGCAAACGGCCGCTGCTGCTGCGGCTGCTGCTTCCATGGCTGCGTCGGCCAATGCGGCCAACAATGCGGCCGCTTTGCATGGATTCGCGCCGTAAGTAGAGTCCGCCGTGGACTTCACTCTCCGTCAAACACCCGCGCTCCCGCCGTAGCTTAGTCCGTTGGTAGCTGTAACTTTCTGTAACTTTTAGTTCGTTTCGCTGCGAATGTAGTTTCTAGCGCACCCTTAAATTAATATTATATATCAACTATCCATAATCCATATATACTACGTTTATACGCACGCCTTTCTAAACTCAGAATGCTGATAGTTTTGGTTTTGTTAATCTAAAGCTTATAGTTCTTTAAGTTGATAAGTTTTTTTGTGAAGGACATGGCTTGATTTTGTAAATATATTTTATGGCTCATCAGCAGAAAACTTTAATATTATATAAACATTTTTCAATTTTACCAGATTTTAATGCAATTTTGAATGATTTTCTTGGAAAAATATTTAAAAGTTTTCTTATTAATTTATATTTTTACGAATTTTCTAAAAAACATCAAAAAGCTGGCGTATAAACGTAGATTTATGTAATATTATTTACCCAACTTCCTAGTTTCCCTTTTGCGGTGTCTTAAACGCAACCGCAAAAGAACCTTTTAACCTAAAGCTTAAATTGTTTATAGCCAAAAGTTTGTTTTTCCTTACCCTTTTGCTATCTCTATCTCTCTGTGTTACTTTATCTTCTTGTCTCTATCTTGTTGGTGAAAAATGTTTTTTAGCTATCTTGTGTGTGTAAAGTTTTAATATCGCATATAATGAAACCTAGACTTTGACTTATTTTTGTATAAAAACAAAAAAAAAAAACCAGCAAATAGAAGAAAAGACTACAAAAAATTGCAAAAAAAATATATAAAAAAAGCAGCAACCGATTAACGCACGCTAATACACTGAAAAAAAACACACTATCCATTCACAAGAACTCTAAAAATATATATATATATATACACTCGACTATATAGTCTGACTGAGAGAAGTGTGTTTTTTGGCATCGTTTGACTACCTAATTATCGTTATTTTGGTTAAGGGACCTACTACTACTACTACTCGGTTGTATATTGTGTACCACTAGGCGTATGATGAATTTCGATTTGAATTTGACTTGAAAGTGTTTTTTTTTGAATGGAAACTGCGTCGCTCTCTGCCAGCGCCTTGCGTGCATGTTCTGCCCCCCGACATTACCCATATAAATATATATATACAAAATTTATATAGACCTTTGATTAACTTATTCTTTTGTGGCTGCTCTCTCTACACACCTACACACACACACACAGAAACACACACTCACCCATTTATCCCAAACCACACCATAGCGTACGAATGAATGCTACATTATTGTAAACTTACCCACATCAAGCCATGCCAAAGAACCAAAAAAAAAAACAAAAAATAATTCAAATTAAATAAAAAACAAAACTAATTAGCTAGGTGCATGAGTGTCTGTTCTGTCTAAAGATTAAATGCAATTTGAAACTTTGAAGCAAGAAGCAAGATCATTTTCGTAGTGTTTGGGTAATGGAATGAGAACCCCGATATGTATGTGGTTGGTTGGTTGGTTGGCTATCTTTGCTAGTACTACTACTACTACTACTACTACTACTACTACTACTTAAAACGACCAATATCTAAACCTTTTAATTTCCCTTTCGTTTCGTTTCCTCTGTCTTAAAACATTTCCTCCAATCAGTTCGTCATCAAGTGGGGATTCAGGTCAGATCAGGTCAGTTTTTCACTTAGCGCAGGCTATGCTAGCTAGGTAGGTGGGGTGCCAAGGTTTTCTGTTTTTTTTTTGTTTTTATTAGTTGCCCCTTAAGTTTCAGCCATTTAACACCCACAAAAGCATCCGGTACAGAGAAAATCAAAATAAACAAAACAACATTTAATAATAAAAAACCCAAAACAGAAAACAACACACCGCCGGATGTGGATAAAGTTTTATTGGCCAGCGAGAAAATATTTTTGTTCATAACAACAAATACAAACTTTATCCCGTCTGGCTTTTCCCCCAAAAATCAAAAGACCACACAAGTGCGTTAAAAAAATGAACCAAAAGAAAATTTTTGAATTTTGCTTTTAAGTGCCAACAAAACTGAAATGAAAGGTAAGCCATTATAGAGGGGTGTATATATAATATATACTCTTCCATATGGTTTGCCTTTCATTCAACTCACCTACCCAGAATATCAAACTTCTATATACACCTTTATTAATATATGATCTTGTTCTATCTATCATCTTGTTCCCCAACAACAGTGTTTACTATGATCCCTTCTTAGCAGCCGCTGCATCCGCTGATCCAAATCTACGCTTCCAGGTGAGTTTTGTATAGCCTTTCGTGTTCCCAACTAAGTTTGCCTTATGTCTTTAAGTTAGTCTGTAAACTCTAGTATAGAGCTGTAATAGAAAATCCCCTCTAACCATGCCATGAATATATATATATATTTGAAAATATTATATAAATCTTACAGGCAGCCAAACCGGTCACTGAAGTTCCAGCCGCTCAGCCAGCCGCCATATTAAATGTAATAAAACTTTTTCAAACTAAAAATATGCTAACCAAAAGAAATTCAAAACAATTCAGTTTTCTTAATTTATATAGTTTATATATATTATATATTGGTAGCTTGTGAAAGACACACACACACACACATCGTTTGAGTTTTGAAACATTTGACTTGGTTTTGTGGAAGATTCGCTTTTGAGTTCACTTTTTGCATTTTCCACCACGTCCATCCTGAACTAACGACGCGTCTACCTAATTTCTTGCTGTGTAACATTTTAACACAAATTTTATTTGAGATCGAACTTGGTTACTTGGTTTCTTGGTCGTAAATCGCATTATTTATCTCGACTTAAGCTTGGCTAAGCTTACTCAACTCAATGTCTTAAATAACTCCAACACTTGTGTATAAGCTCTCTCTCTTGCCCTATCAAATTGCATCCTTTGTTTGGTTTTCTTTTTATAAAATAAAAAATAAAAAAACCAGAGGTGGCATTAACTACTTTTAAACTATATACTTTTTAAGTACTTCTGCTAGTTTCCTTGATTTGTTACACAAATTTTTGCTTTTGCTGATTAACAATAACTACAAACTATTTATATTAAATAAGCTGTAAACATTTTGTAACTACTACTACTACTACTATTACTACAAACTCTTCTTTGGTTATCTTTCATCACTGTTAAAACATCAAAAACTCAACAACTAATACAACACAATTTGAAATCAAATTGAAAAAAATATATATATTGATTGAAAAACAAAAACCATAAATTACAGCGCCGCACTGTGACTACGCTAAACAGTAACCCACATACGATCAACCGCATTCCGGTTCCACAGAATGTTTTGGTAAAAATAATCATATATAGTTTTCTAGTTTTCTAGTTTTCTAGCTTTCCATTTGCCAATGCACCTTAGAATATTCTCCTCCTCTGATTGTTGTCACCGAACCTTTACGTTTTCCGTTTGCTCAATGCCTTTTCGTATGCGTATATATAATATATATATATTTTTGATATACTGTATGTCTATGCCTTAAGTCTTAAGTTAACCCTAGCTATTAAATTAAATACCATAAGTTATTTACTGGTCTTGTGCCACGCTTTTCGGTTTTAATGGCCTGGCATCTTGGGTTCTATGTAGCTCGCTAGGTTATAACCTTAACCTGGCTTACAGTTTTCTAAGTGTATATAGAATATTTTTGACATCACACTACTCCACTTGTTTGCGCACTCGTTTTTTCTGATTTGGTTTTTGGTTATGATATATCTTTGTGTGTCTATACTTTTGGCCTCCACCGGTTTGGGTTCCTAATTTTCTCACCACACTTGCTCTCACCGACTCCTCCGCTAGTCTTGTCGTTTGCTGTTGTCGACCCTAAAAAAAAACAAAAAAATATTAAAAAAATATATAAAAACAAAAAGTACAACCCCCAACCCCAGAAATCTGTAACTGCGTCTGTTCTACGAGTCGCCGTTGTCTGTTGTTGCCCCAGTTTAACGCCCCATTTGCTTAACCTTATTCCAGGCCACTGCTCCGCTGTTAAAGACACCGCTGTCTCAGGCCCAGCAGCAGGCGTATGCCACGGCGGCCACCACCTACACGGCGGTAGCTGCCCGTGCCGCCTATGGTGCCGCTGCCGCAGCAGCCGCACAGCCGGCACTGGCCGGCTATGCCACAGTAGCTGGGTAAGTTTTATATCTCAAACTGTATATCGTTGATCATCTCACCTGGAGCTTAGCTGCCTCCGAAAAACACTCTCATTTTAACACAAATCCATCACTAACCCTCATGATGACTTCAGTTGGGTGACCAACTTCTTAGGAAGTTGTAACTTTTTGGCAATTTATTTTTAGCAATTATTTAATACTCGTTATTGGCTATAAGTTTTAAGAATTTTCAGTTTTGTAGTTTTTGGAATTTGTTATTAATTTTTCCAAAATAAATAAGTTTAAGTTAAGCATTTACTTAGAACTTTATAATTTTTTAATCATTTTAGTTTCTTATTTTTATGTTAGTTTTCTTAACATGTTATTGTCTTCTAATTTACTAAAAATATATTATAAAAAGTATTTATTTTTGTAATATTTGTAACTAAAATTTAAACTTAAAGTAAGCACTTAATTTGTTAAAAAAATATTAAGAAACTTAAACCTATTTATTTAGTTAATAATTCATAATTTTTTATTTAAGTTTTGTAGTTTTGTGTATTTTATTTTAAATTTGTTTATAATTTTTTCCCCTTTTCAACATTTTTATTTAACCAAATTTTTAACTAAAAAGGTAACTTTTTTAATTTGATTAAAACTTTTTATTTGAAATTTGACTAATAATTTGATTTTACCTCTTCTTTTTGTATTTATTCTTATTTTTGCATTTGACCAAAAATATGTGTAATTTCTTAAAGTGTAGAAATCGAACACTGAAAACTGAAGAGCTACAGCGGTCGGTTGAAAACTTTTGCAAAACTTTGTGTAAACTAAATAATTTTTATTAATTAATTAAGTTAAAGAAAAACAAAAACTAAACTAATAAAACCAACTGGAATCATCAATCAAGAAAACATTTAACATTAAAAACATTTAACATTAAAAACATTTAAAAAATAAAACAAAAATCATTTAGTCTTACTAATCCGATGAACATCACAAAAATATTTATAGATATGCGCGCGAATATGCAGATCCTTATCTAGGACATGGCATTGGACCAGTTCCCGGCTATGGGGTAAGGATATTGTTAATTTAAAAAATATTTAAAAATATATAAAAAAGCTTATCATAGATTCAGCCTGTTTTTTCCCGCTTTAAAAGCCTTTCTTTCATAATAAAACTCTTATTTTTTTTCCCTAATATCCCCTTCAGGCAACCATGTATCGCGGTGGATTCAATCGTTTCACGCCATATTAAGAACAATCTACGCCAGTCAGCCAAATAACGCACTCGAACTACTCTCGATGAAAATGCTCAATCTATGAACAAGAAAGCAAAGCAAATAAGTAACTTAGACGTAAATACTCCTCCCCCTACGTGCAGTAAGTAGTAGAAGTTACAACTAAACCGATAGATCCAGGATACTCAACACCCAAAAAACAACAACACCAACAACAGACGCTCAAGGTCCTCGGAGAGTTGAAAATCAAAGCTAAGCAACAAAGAACATAAACAAATCAATGTCGTCCAGTAAAAGCAAAAAGCTAAACCAAAAATGAAAAATTATACGCCGCTAAACGCAGTTCTATGGAGTTTATATAAGTAAACCGAAACAAAAAACTAAAAACTAAAAAAAAGAAAACAAAAATATTAAAAACAAAAAAACATAAATTCAAAGTGCAAAATAGTTTTGCAGAGAATGAAAAGAGAAAAATGTGCTTCATGCGTAGATTTTTACCAGAACAAAAGCTGAAACTTTGTGCGGCAGATCAGAATTTATATATATACCGACATGATATATAGTTATTATATGTAGGCATTGTATTTGTATATCAAAGCAAACCAGGAAAAAGAGCAATGTTTTAGGTACTTTTCATGCTGATACATTATCTAAAAAAAAAACAAAAATTATATATATATAAAGAACCTCGGTTGTTGATTTTCGAAACTTCGTTGAACTAAGTTAGTCCTTATGATTTACAAATTATTCTAAACCATTAGCATTGTAGTTTGTAGTAAGGGAAGGCAAAAACAATGCAGCCGCAGCCGCCACACACACACATTAACAAATCAAAATGTATATTATTTGCAAACTGTTAAAGCACAAACAACAATATATATTTATTCGTATATACTTTTAGATTGATATCTCTAATTTGATTACCCAAAGAATACTCATTTCTGTATTGTACTGTGTACTGTATTGTCAACGAATTTAATTTTAATCACATGCTTGGTTGTTCCTAATAATTTTATACATATATTTTGGCAGCTAAACACCACACACACTCAACTCGAACACTCGACTCAATTTGAATTGCTCAAAAAAAAAAAAACAAACAAAAAAACAAAAAAGAAAAAAGAAAATTCTAGCGCATAGGTAAATGCAAAAGATCAACACGTAGACATATCCTTGGAATATACAATAATATTTACTTTAAATGCCGCCATAGCAGCAAAAGCGAAAAGAGAAAAAATTCAAAAAAAAAAAAAATATTAGTTTTAAAAGAGAAAAAGTCAAGCTTCCAGTGACAAAAAGCCATTGATGAATGCAAAAAATGCGGAAAAATCGAATAATAAGCATTAAAAATTACAATTTTTAGCTCTTACTCCGTAGCACTTTCCTTGTGTGTTGTGTAAAGAAAACAAAAAAAGAAAGAAAGGAAAAATCGTTTTCCCTAAGCAAACTAAGAATTTATTTTATACACACTCGAATCTAATGCACACACAAAAAAAAACCAAAAACAAACAACAAACTTTTAACGTTGTGTATTTTTCAAATGTTAAAATGATTCAAAATGCTCAAGTGGAAAAGAAGGAGGTCGTTCTCTATTTTGATTCTTAGGCAGCTACTGTCGTCAAATTTATACTAGTTGTTTATCAACCATACTATGCTAAAAACAAAACAAAAACAAAAACAAAACAAGAAAGCTACTAATTATTGTGTGTGTGTGTGTGATCGTGCAATTCTTTAGGTGTTCTTCGAATTTCCTTAACAAAAAACCAAACCTACTACCAATTACTTGAGAAGAGAGAGGGCAGATGTGAGGAAAGAGCTTCAACTTTGATGTTTTTTTTTTTTAATCTAATCACTTAGCAACTGTCTCGGATTGTACATATTTATGATGACACATTGTATTTTTACCTTATTCCTCTCTCAACGCACACACAAGCAACACTCACACACGCGCACAGGCAAAACTCCTGGGAAATCGAAGCAATTTATGGCATACTCACATATATGTACCACCCCCTGTTAAAGGTGTACTATTTTTTATTTGATTCTCTCACATTATCATATCGTATTGATATACTATTCTTACGTTGACATTTTTAAAGCCAAAGTTTATATTTTAAATGATTTTTTTAGTTAGGAACTTAGTTTATATGCTGACGACAGACGACACAAAATGGATGATTACGATTACGAACTAAAAAAAAGAAAAGGGAAAACAATAATAACAAATCGAACCCAACAATTGCCAAATTAAATGTAGCTTTCAAGTGAATTAAATAAATAAAGACGTAATTAAATTTAATGAATTTTTCAGCTAGCGCAGAAATAGTTTGCCAAAAAGCATAGCATACTTTTTGGCTCACCCACAATGATCACACACCACTCAGAAATTTTGTTGGGTTTGATGATGAGCAGGCAAATGCAAGATGAAAACCAAACTAGTTATAAAGCAAACTTAAATATATAATACGGTATGGTATATACATTTAAATTATGAACTCAACTTCCACCGCAAAACTTTTAAAACAAAATGAAAAACAAAAACGAGAAACAAAAATGTAAAAGAGAAGAAAATCTAAGGAAAACCACAATTTTTGTCTTAAGCAATGCGTTGAGGAAAGTCAACCTACAAGTAAATTATAAATGCAAAACGCAACTCAATCAAACACAGCAGCTATATGATAAACATAACGATATATGATGTATATGATAAAGTCTTTATTTAACCCCCGAACCCAAACCCGATCCATTTTGTGAACCCCTTAAAACCCCTCCCCCAAAAAACCTGTAATCTGTGTAGTCTAACCATAAGCCAGCGCCAGCTTTTGTTTTACTTTCACATAGATCAGATGCCTAGGCGTCATATAAAGTATAAATATAAAGTATATAAATATATATATATATATATATTATATGGAAACTCTAATCTTTAATGATGTGCCAAATTGTAAGTTGTACCATTTGTTTTTATGAGCAAATGCAAAAACACAAATTGAAATAAAAATATGAATTAAAACATAAAACATTGAAAATAGCATTACAGTTTTCGAAAACCCCCCTCAAACTTTGATTTTTAAACATTTAGATGGTAATGGAAGAAGAAGAATATTTTTTAAATTTAGCATTGTGAATAGGACAAGGGCAAGGCTAAAAAAAAAACAGAAAACAGAAACGGCCAAGCCAAGCGTTCTCAGGCGCTACCTTACAAAACAAAAAATTGATAATAGAACCGCAGAGACGATAAACAACAAGTATTATATTAGCAACAATCGCAGAACAAAGCCCAACCAACAGCAAACAGCAAACACAAACATAAACTAAAACCAAAAGTAAGGTAAATCCAGCTCAAATTTAATTTACATGCAAGCCGCAAGGTATGCAATGCGAAATTTCAATAATAAACGTACACAAATTCCGAAACTTATTGGTTTATATCAATTTTCAATTTGTAAGGTTGTGACAAATTGTAAACAAACATAGAAAACAAAACAAACAAACAAAAAAAAAACAAAAAAAAGAAGCAAAAAGAAACATGAAACCAATCCATGGAAAATTGTAATATTGTTTGTGAATGGCAAATAAAATGGCAAGGAAGTGGAAAACATTTGAGATTCATACAAAGTACAGAGGGAAAGAGCGAGAAATGCAATAAAAATAACTTTAAAAAATGCAAAATAATCGAAGCAATTGTGTTTTCATTTTCCTGGGAGGGGGGTCATAAATCTGCTGACAGATCTTCATAAATTACATTTTTCTTGAAACTCTCTTCCTCCTCCTCCTGTGATGGAACATTTAGCAGCAAACAATCAATCATAGAGGTAGGAAAAACTTATGACCTCCTCTTATCTAACATCTAACGGAAATCCTTTGATGGCTCACACCTCTATGGCAAACCTCTTCAGACTGACTCACACGCACACGTGAAAATTTTCATCAATCAACCGTTTGAGCCCCCTCCGGCAGTTTTTCTTCACTATTCCAAAACTCTATGGCACTCGGGCGGCGTAATTAAAGTTGATGGGCGGCCATTTGCATGCAAGTTTATTACAATGCAACCGCAAACATTTAACACCTCTAAGTCCCTCAAAACCCACACACACACTTGGTCTCTATATACATATAGAGAGAGAGAGAAGAGCGTACACCGCGACATGCAAAGGCTATTAACGTGATTAAATCAAATGGCTCTAGCACTTGAGGTCTGCAGTCAGGCTGGCCTGTAATTATACAAATTTTCGCATTTGATTGAAGAGCCCAACAACCGACAATCTGCCTGACATTTTTAAGGTTGAACAAACTGGAATATATGTACAGATATGGTAAAATAAGTAGAACATATTTAGACTGAAATAAAATAAATAAATAAAGGAAATTAAATTTGAAATTTTAGAGATTTTTTAAGTAACTTTCTTTATGGTTATCATTCAGAGTAAGTAAAAATATATTTATTATCTATAATATTAAAGTTCCTATCTTAATTTCCTGCACTGTATAAACTAGAACTGCAAGAGACAGGGCTCTATTTTAAACTGTGCCATGTCAAACCGACGACCGCAGGAAGTAAACGCCTCTCTGCCTTCTGATTTGATTTGGTCCTGCTGGCAGTTTTGGGTTTTGTGGCCAATGTGGCCGCTGTGTGACATAATAAATTATGCTGCTGCATGCCAATGATTAATTTTAGATGCATGCAACATGACAGTGCATCGTGTGGAGTATGGAGTATGGAGTATGAGGCATACGCAGTGCACCCAATCGAATGCATACAAAATTAACAGCAGTAACAGCAATTGGAATTAGCCAACTCCCGCACACACACACACACACACTCTACACACACTATCTCAGTACGAAAATCTGTGGCAGCCTACCCATGGGTTATATGCTTTCTTCTCCCTATCTATATCCATTTGAATGGCCCGATGGGCCCTCCATGAATTATTACGTGCAATTATTTTCTAATTAATTATTTGACAGCCCACCAGCGAATGTTGAGAGAGAGACAGCCGAGCGGCGATGGCATGCCATGGTGCGATAATTTTTTTCCCTTTCGGGGGCACAATTGGCCATTCGATATGGCGCGTAATGGGCGCCATTAAATTGGCCCGGTCTGCTTGCTGATTCTCATGGCAATGGAATGCGGCCAAAAAACACTTTTTGCTGCCAGCTTGATAGAAGAGATACTTAAATATGTAGGCCACAATTGTAGCAGGCTGGCCAGACAGCTAACAATTTTCGGGTGGAATGAAGTGGAATAATAGAGAAATCCTGCGATTCAAGGGGAGTTAAACAAGTCCAGTGGCTCTTGGATTATGAATTATGGCTTAATTAAAATGGGATAAAATTAGTTTCTTCTGTTGAGGGAGAAGATATGCTATCTTTGGTTAATGCTAAGACTGTCGAATGTTCGCTTATAAAGGCTTTAATGTCTTTAAGTTTATTTTGCTTTTTTGTGTTGGAAATAACAATTTATAAGAATTTAAAAAAAATAAATGCACTCCTTTAAGCCCAGCTATTGAAGTCCAAATCCATAGCATACTTTTCAGCTGCCTGGAATATTTTAAAATATATATCCCTGGCACTTCAATTATCTAATTGTACGAATGCCTGCACAGCTAAAAACATTGGAAAAGTGTCAAAATGACTCGGCATCTAATCAAAGCACTTATCATTACCAAATTCCAATCGAAACAAACAGTCCCAAAGCCACCTTTTTGGCAACTCTCTCTCCTCCGCAAAACAAACTGCTAACGAGGCCCCAAAAAAAACCAACATCAGACTCTGGCAAACTTGTCCGACCATTGCTGCTGCTGCTACTGCTGTTGCCCCAACGAAACCCCAAGCCGCATCAGCAATCCCCACAAACTCCAGTGCCACCTCCAACGAATTGCATCCTGCTGCCGACGACCGCGGCACAAAAACTAATTACATTATTTCAACTTGATGCAATCAGAGAGTGCGTATGCGTGCCCTCACAAAAACCCTCGCATGGGTTTACCCCAGTGACCATTCGCGTTTCGGTTCAATTGAATGCCAGACAGGGACGCGAAACTACAAAAACACTAGAAAGTATCCTGGCTGAAAGTGATGGACCGTGGGGATACCCAATAAGGTTTTGTTATTTCTATGTCTAAGTTAGATGTGGAAGTCATAGAAGGATCAAATAGTTATATGAACATAAAGTTTTGTGGTAGTTAAGTTAAACTAAAAGATAGGTATGCTTTCTTGAGGTACAAATAAATCTCTGCAAAACGAACAGCTTTATCCGCTGCATCATACTCTGCTCTCTGTCATGTGAGTAATGAATTAAGGATAAAAAGTTCAGATGGTAATCATTTAATTCAGGCTTTGAGTAACCTATTATAGATAGCACCCACAAAAAACCCCATTCACTAAGCAAACAACCGAAATACCCCAAAACCCCATATGACTCCGTACAATAACGAAACAACGAGAAAAGCCCCGTGGCCTGAGAGAGAGGTTAAAATCCTCGCAGGACATGCCGATGCACGCAAATCACTGCAACAGCAAAAAAAAAGAAAACTGAAATGCCCATTGGCCAGGGCTGATGTCGAACCCAAGCTGGAAATCAGACTGGAATGGGTCATCCGGATGGTGTATTGTTGGGCATTGTGGGTCTGCTTTACGAGGCGCATCGGTTAGATCTGTCTGTATGTGTGGGTGTGTGTGTGTGTATGTCCTGGATGCGAGCGTGTTGGATTAATGCCGGCAGCTGTGGCATGAACAACCGCCAATAATTCAACGGTCGGCGTTTGGGCATACAAAAAAAAAAAAGAGAGAAAATCGCAGCATCTGCAAACCTTGCCCGGGCCAGTTATTTGTTGTTATATTTGTCTGTTAATTGCCGATGCAGCGCAATAAAAACCCACTCCAGCACACAGCCATGGAAATTTATAATTAACAGTGTCGTTGGCGCCTTGTACGTGCCTCGTAACGCGTTTCAATTAAATGTTTTTAAAGGCTCGCCCCAATCCATACGCTGCCAGGAAGCAGATCTCATTTTCGATTATGCAAATTAAGCCCGGGTGGCGGTGGCAGGCAATGCACTTTGTCTCCAATAAAAATTGATTTATTTCTTCAAAATTTAAGCAAAGGAATACAGAAAGTTGTTGAACTCTTTAAGGTGAAGGATGGAGTTCAATTTTGATTTTTAATATTATTTTACTATAAGTTTTAGGTACTTACTAATTATAAGAATCCCTTTAAGTGTTAATTCCTTAAAGGATTTTGTTCTACCGAAAATACTGCACCCACCTTTATCCTGTAAACGTTCAATGGCCTACAAAGCTAAAGCCAAATGTCTAATTAATCGAACATCCAAGCAACATTTGAGAAGCTTTCACCCTTTGACCTCATTTGCACGTTTAATGAAAAATCCCCTTGGCTTTTGGCTTTCGGATTCCGCCTTTGACTTTGCTTTTTGGGCAACTTCGTGTGCCCGCCCTCCCCGCACCCCCCTTTTGGTACGTAGTACATACCATCGAAACCACCGGCACCGCAAAATCGGACAGCAAACGAGAAACGTAAACGAAATTCCCATGACTGCAACATTTGCCAACACCGCAAAAGGATGCAATGGGTCCATTCGAATCGATTGGGAAGGAAGCATCTTAACCACAAAATAAATAGCTTGCCTGCCGCAAATCTTGTTTGATTGTCTAAATATTTAGACAGCCAGTGGAGGACATAGCAGATTTTCAAGTTGCCAAAGGACTTCTTAACTCCTTAGAACTAACACACGAAGGATAAACACAGACATTTGATTTTACAACACAGGTAATGCCATATTTTCGTATCAGCTTTCATTCAGCTTTCACCAATGAACTAATCGAATGGTTAACTTATAGTTTAACCCCAAAATGTGTAAAATTTAATTTGACAGGAATGTCTCATCATGAAATATTACCTGCAACTCAAGTATCGAATGCATCATTTACAGCGTAACCCTTCGATTCACCAAGAACGCCAAGCCTAACCCAATTTCATGTGTAATCATTTTCGTATTTACAATCAATTGCCAGGCACTTGGCAGCCTCTCAACCAGGATCACTCGCACATCCTTGGCCAACTGTTATTGCCGCATCATTGCACTTGAGTCGAGGCAAATCCTCGAACACCTCCACTTCGCATGTCATTTGCCATGCATGGGAACTGTCCAGGGCTCACTTTGCCAGCCATCATCGACAGCTGCTCCTTCGGCGTGACCTTAGACGACTGTCATAACTCCTAACCGGCACCTTGCAGTTTTCATTCCACTTTTCCTTCCCTCGTATGGATGGGCTTTCCCCCCGCCCCACTAGCCCAAAAAAACCCAACTTGAAGCTGTCTGCAAAGGAATTATGCAATGGCTACTGGGTGTGCTAGCTGTGCTGTGCAGCCATTTTTCAAAAATTCAATTGTATATTCAATTCAATTTTTGTGATCAACAACGCCGACATTGACGGCCCCGGGAGATATGGTTGGAAAACCGATTACACTGAGGAAAAGGAAGCCAGTTTTAAATTCTGAAAAGTTTAAGACAACCTTAGATAGAGAATATATAAACTAATTTATCATAATCTATCTTAAAATATTTATAAAATGTTTTTTGGGAACCTTTTGATTAAACGACACTGAATATATAATTTTTCCAGTGATTAAAAGAAAACCGTCCGTGTTGA